AATCTCCTGCTTTGATCCCTAGGTTCTGCCCAGAGTCGATGAACTGAGCCATGAGGCTGGCTCTTCTCTTCGTCCTACTGCTGCCAGCATGCTTGGCCAAGCCGTTCCACCAGCAGGGCCTCTTTGACTTTATGCTGGAGGATGAAGGGTCGGCCGATATGCCTACAACGGATGATTTCGTCACGTCTGGATTTGGACCAGTGTGCCCCTTCCGCTGCCAGTGCCATCTTCGCGTGGTGCAGTGCTCTGACCTAGGTAAGCCCAAAAGCATCCTCACAGGGTGTATACTTGCATTCTAGCCAAGGGTTTGCAGCTGAGATGGTGAGGCTGCTACAGACTGTCACTCTGTAACTGGTTTTTTGTCAAAGAAAGAAATATGCTACAGCTACTGTTAACTAGAATGTACCATATGAAGTAGGCCATAAAGCCCTGACGAGATGGGCATTTGTTGTGACTAAGAAGAATGGTTGATTTTTCAGTGTATATTTTGTGTATGTACATTTCATTTGTTCTTTGAAAGACCACAGACTTCTGTTGCAGAGAAAATAACTTTTCAAGGCTATTCTTTCAAATGCATATTAAATAAATTCAGTGAGGTCAGATGTGGGGATGGAAACATTTTAAAAGGTTCTAAATTGCATGGTCCAAACTCCAACACCCTTAATCATACTGTCTAGTACCTCAACATAGAAATCATTCCATTTCCATTGGAATACATGAGCATGGAATAACCGACCCTGAATCATATATGCTGGAACCAGCTCTTTGGAGGAAAGAACTTGGAAACACTCCAAAACAATGAACACATTTTGGAGCTCCTTATTAAATATCTTTCTTAGACACTGTTCAAGCTGAAACCATGAGAACCTTTCTCACAAACTCCCCTTACTCCCTCACGTATAAGGGCTTGTCTGCACAGTCAGACGGGCAGGATGTGAAGCCATGCCTGCCATCACTGTATTTGACTTTCCCATGCAGAAATCTCAAGTAATGAGGTTGACTTCAGTGAGACTACTCTTGGTTTAAGCCAGTATTATTCAGTCTAAGTCAGTGTGCAATGCAGAAAATCAATTAAAGTTGGTTTTGCTCACAAGGAAATTAGAGAGTTTATTCAGTGGACATACAAATAACTTCCCTTTATGATTTTATAAAGTTTATTTTTAAAAAAAAAAAAAAAGTCTTCTCTTGGCTGTTTAAATGTATAGCTGGGTGTTTCTATTTTCCCATGTTATAGCATTGGCTTTGATGATTACTATAAATCATGGCACAAATCCACCAGTTAGGACCTGGGTCTCATTGTGGTGGGTGTCATATAATTACAGAAAGGAGGGGGAAACATTAGTTACATCCCTAGAAACTTCTGTGAATTTATTAAAGCAAGCCACATAATTACGCAACAGATATGTTTGGCAAAGACCCAGTGAACAATGCAAGCCAAGTTGCACAAATGAGCACTGACTAACCTAGCCATGCATTCATAAAGCTTTCACAGTACTGTCCCTGTTGAAAGATATTCTCTTTTTTTACCATTTAGGTGCCAGATAGTAGCAAACATGGGGTGGGGAGTGGGGAGGAGTGTGCCCCACATGCCACGAAGGTCTTAGGTTTTATTGTTGTTACACTGGCTAATGCTGATGGAATGTAAGTTATTTTGGGAACTTTTCCCCAGTCTGCTTCAATTCTGCAGAATGCAAGCAGCTTTTGCTTGGTAAAAAAGTAGAGATATTCACACAGGGACCCTTTGTTGCTGTACTTGCTCCCATGTTCGTTCGGTTCTCCTTCACATACGCGTGGTTTTCAAAGGGTTGCACTACAGTGCACTGCCTACAGATGCTTCTGAGTTAACAGAGTCTCATATTGACAAGGAGACTCAGAAATACAGCAATTAAGGTCCCAGGTCTGTTTTTTCCAGATAATTTTGAGAGGGGTGATAAGAACGAGATATATTTTGAGCTTGGTTTAAACCCACATGCTGCAGATACTGCAACAAAAAGATTGTGCTTTTGAAACAGCTTGGCTGATAACATCCAGCCTCTGGGCATGAAGGAAGAGAGATCTCACTGGGCTTAAAATATGCAGCTCTGAAAAATAAATAATATTTCCCTGGCAGAACTCAAGGAAGTAATAACCATTCAGAGTTCTGCAGCCTTGGCATTAAGTTTCATCCATCCTTGTCACGTGTGGCTACAACAGCCCCGATGGGTTGTGGCCCAAGTGGGAGGCTCACCAGGGCTCAGGTCCGATGGCCACCCCTGTGAGCAGGGACAGGACAGCTGTGGGTGCTGCCTGCTCACAGGTAAATCTGCCCTCCGCTCTTCTCTTTTCCGGCCTTGAATCTGTTTCTATGTGACTCAGGCTCACACAAGGTCAGATCTACCTACTGACTTGAGAAAAGCCAGGAGCTGGCTCTGAGAGTTCAAAATTTTGTGGCAAACTGTGGAGGTCCTGCCAGGATGACCCACCGTACACCTGGGCTGTGGGATGAAGGGTGCTTGGGGCGCAGCGATTGGGCAGGCAATGTGCACGTGGGAGCCATGAACCCAGCAAAGACAGTTCCACCTCCCTGCTAACCACTGCTCCTAGCCTGCCTCTCCCTTCAGCTCCAGGCATTTCCGACCCAACAAAATTAGCTACCTCCCTCCCCCAAAATTATCAAATTTAGTCAACTAGTCCCATGGGCACTAATTGAAGAAGAACTGCAGGCAATAACAAGACTCCTCCCAGGGATATATTAAGAGCTTACTAAATTAAATCCCACAAAGGAAAGTTGAAATCTGGATCAGGGTCCTTTCTTCCACTCTCTGGCATGGAAGGAGGGCTCTTTGCAAGCCCTTAGGTGCAGAGAGCATGCCAGAGCAAGGCAGCTAGAGGACCCTAATGTGGGCTACTTATGGAGAGATCTCCTCTTCCTCAGAATACTTTTTTTTGGGCCCAAAGGGGCATTTGTTATTTGTAAACTCTTGCTTCATAAGGGAAATCCAACTATCTGACACAGAGGTATGTGGATAAACCACAGGAGAACTATCACATCCAGGGTCCAGAGATCAGGTTTGGCACTTGTCTCATGAGAACTGGATGGGAATAATAATAATAATAATAAAAAAATCCAAATTCAATAAAAACAGTGAAAAAAATGCCCAGTGGTCCAATTACACTCTTGTCAGCTGAATTTTTGCATTCCCGTACTTTTAAGCTTCGGTCACATCTTCCTAAACACATACCTCCAAATTAATTTATTTTGCCTCCAAGCCAAGAGCTGAGTTAGCAGGAAGGAGAATGCTGTCTTCTCACACCCTGAAGAATTCTCTCTGAGCTGTGGTTACTTACAGATAGAGAGCAGAGCCCCATGTGCCTACTTTATATGAGATGTATTACCTTTGTGCAACAGGCTTCAGAATCTCATCAAGGAAGGCCACTGGGGTATCTTTATAAAAGCACTGCCTTTTCTGAATCTGCCTCTCATTGCTAAAAGGGAGCCACACGTTCACTTTTTAATCATGCCTCAGCATACGGCATTACTATGCGATAGACAGACTTTCCATAGAAATCACAAACTTCTTCCTTATTAGCACACACTACAGGTGGGGAGTAGCTGATATAGCTGGTCAGGGGCAGCTCTTCTTTAAAATAATAAATACAGGGAAGATGTGCAGTCAGTTGGCCAGGCAAACATGTCTTGTAAAAGCCCTAGCAAGGATTACCCATTCCATTTAAAGTCTTATCGTCCCAAAGGGAGTCTCAAGAAAAGGTTCCTCCCAGAGCGCCGTGGTAGGCAGGAGGATGCGTGTGTGGTTACTCAGCCCAGCAGCGGATGCAGAATGCTCCGTAAGTGCATTGGGAGGTGGGGGTCAGAGATTTATTTCACCTTCAGATAAATCTGGCAGCCCCTTAGGAAGTGAGCAGAGTCTGTGTTCTGCAGGATGGAATGAGATCGCCTTCCTTGGAGACTTCAGAGGAGATAGGGGAGTCCCTCCAACCCTCTTGCTGTGAGCACCCCTGGAGGTTTTGTGGTCTCGAAAAGGTGTGCAAGAGGTGGATGTCCGTAACCAAAGTTCAAGCAGTATTACAGCTTAAACTGGAATTTTACTCACAGCTCAGAAATGTGGGGTTTCTCCAGCTGTAAAGTAAAGAAGGGTATATTAAAGCTCAGCATGGGTGTTGGAGTGTGTGTTTGAAAAGCACTTTGAGATCAGAGGGTGAAAAGCTCAGAGATATGTAAAGCATTATCCCAGGGATCCGGTAACACGAAGCAGTTTATCTGAACACATACAGTGTCTAAACTGTATTAATTGATGGCTTTTCAACACCTGAACCATGGTAATGGGACAACAGCTAATTTATTTGTTGATAAAAGATTATTTATCTCACTGTATAAAATCTTCCAGAAACATCTGAACACCCAGTTTCTGATCATGACTCCATTTGGGAATCTCATCTCTCACTATAAAGGAAATTATCTACTTCAGGTTATACCTTGATTTGAACTTCTGTTATCAACATAAAGTCTTTTTAAAGAAAAATAATACATACCTCATTGGTGATCAGTCTCAGTCATTTTATGAGTTCAAGCAAACAGGTAGGATTACTTACTATTACGTACTTAGCTTTAGAATCCCTGCCATTTGAATGTTTACCAACCTTTCAAAAACATAATTTTTAAAGCTAGTTGTTTAGCTCAAAACCTTACAGGTTTCTAAAGATGTAGTAAGAAGCAGCATGGATCCTTAGATGGCCAGACATTAACAAATGCAATTTTTAAATAAAAAAGTTTTTGTTAATTTACATTATTAATGATTATTAAGCCTTTAGGACAAATTATTCTATGTTTTATGCATTTTTTCCTTCTAACAGTAAGGACCAGACACTTATTCCTTTTATGTTTAATAGAAGCTGAGACTCTCATGAAATCCTCTGATTTCATGGAACAGGATCATTTAACAAAGATATTATCAATAAAAATGGAACCATGAAATCTGGGAAAGTATATAATCACTTATACTGAGAGTAGCCACTGCATCACAATGCCATGGCCTTAGAACTGAAGACTAAATGCCTTTTTGGATGACGTTGTTTAGCCAAATATAACTTCTGCTGTCATCAAACACAAGTCATTGGGCTTTCCACATGCTAACTGGGTGAATTGTAATACTCTACCATGTTTGAGATCAGACTGGAGGATCTAGATGAAGTATTATAGGTATTATCTGTAATATAGGTATAATACAGGAGTGATGTCCGGTGATGTTAGGTATGTA